ACAGTCCTCCATAAAATGTGCTGCACACATCTGAATATTTGGGTTGAACTGTTCTGGAACAGTGTTGTAAACACAACTTAACCACTGATTTCTAGTCGTGTCCATTTTTGGAAGGCCAAACAAAGTAGTTTCGGTTTCACAACGAAACACACAGCGCCTTCACGACATGGCGGCGGCAACAACAACAATACTACTGCGAGAATAAAAGTTACGCCTCTTTCTTTGCATGAACATTTGGGAGGCGTTATGCAAATCTTCCCACATAGTGATGTAGACATGTGGGGGCGTGTTAGAACGAGCCGTTTTAGGTAGGCGTGGTTGACTCAACTTTTATAAAGAATATCTCTTTGGATTTGAGACTTTAGTCTTTGCAACTTTACAGATCTTCTTTATGCACCAAGAGCTTGTAACACTTCAAAGAGAAAGGAAAAATTTAAATCGCATCATATGACCCCTTTAAACAGTTTCCTTCGTACATTCGGTTCAACGACATTGTTAAAACACGTTTATCATTCAATGGAACTGTGCGTATGCTTTTAGACACTTAAGTTTTTGCTCTGTCCATGCAATAAATGCGCAGCCTTCGACTGCTCAGGTAATGTCGTCGGTATGACCGAGAGCCACTGAAAAACTACAGAAAAGTAAAACTTCTTCACTTTAGCATTACTGGTCACGAGTACTAAGGAGAACTCACACATCAGCTGCTCAAAAAATATGTCCGTGAGACGAACTGAGCACGAGCGCAATCCTGTGACAGTCACAGGAGGTAAATAGTGGAGCGCGTGAAGGAGAGATGCGAGGCACAAACACTGTTAAAGGTCTCCATTAATTCGTGCTTATAGTAATTTAATGTGTATATATGTATATATTGAAAGCATTGAATCGCTATAGAAATCGCGATTCTTCTTCTTCTTCTTCCTTAGGAGCATTATCGCCACCTACTGTACTGGATGTCAAGTAAACTTTCATAGGTGATGAGTGAAATTTGAGAAATCGCGATTCATTCGATTCTTAGCGTTTTAAATCGATTACTGTCCGAACTCGGAAATTCACGATTCAAAAATCCATGTTTTAAGATCGATGCATTGCATCGTCAGGGCTTGTAATCGATGCATCGACAAAAAGAGTGAATTGTTACACCCCCACTTTTAGGTGATGCAAGTAAAATATGTGACTTCCTCCAAGTGATATGAGCCATAGGAGCAAGCGTAATTAATATTATTTCATATTATATTTATTTAATATTATTTTTAATATTATTTCAGTTCTTGATTTTAGAAATGTTGAAGGCCATTACTTATTTATGTTAACCCCTTCTTGTAGTCTTTCAGTCTGTTGTATTGAGTCTTAAGTAGATA